TTCCCGCGGTCGCGTGCGCCTTGCCGCGGAACTGCGCGAAAGATCTGCGCTTCAGCGCTTCGGATCAACAACTCCTTTCGGCAACGCTTCTCTAGTATCCTGTCTCATCTGGACGCTCTAAAATGCCAATTACCCTTTAGATTTTTGATTATTTTATGCCCTTTAGGCTGGGGGCCCGTAGCGTTTTGCTACGGCAGCCCTACGGTTGTGACGCCCCTGCATACATGCGTTGCGTATGTGGTTATACACCATAGTGTTTGGTACTATCACTCGCGTATATATACGAAACCGAGCGCATAATAAGAGAATCGAGCCGGTTTATAGACTATAGTTAGTGTTAGGGTTAGGATTAGGGCTGGGGTTAGGATTAGGGTTAGGGTTATAGAGGCGTGTTTAGGGAGTAGGCACTACCCTAGACTAGCATTATATTACATTTATGTAATACAACATGAACAGCGCATGCGCAACAACTGCTCGGACGAATAGCGCATACGAACAGGTGTCCGATGCTCGGACGAATATCCACGTGCACGTCCCTTATTTATTTACGTCCATTCGCCTAAAGCTCTAACACTGCATTGTACAGAATATAAAGGCCAGATTATGCTATGAGATAGAATAATTAACAGATCGCACTACTAATGTTACCAGTCGAAATCAAATATAAGAATATTTCGTCGAAATGATCTAATTTAAGTATATTTTATGCCGCTATAAATCACGACCACATTTTACCCATGCTTTCGGCCATCTTTGTTTTTAAGTACCATTTGTTTGTCTTCCCGGGAGCCTTTGCACATGAAACACAAGTTGTGGACGCGGTCACGAGGAATCTTGTAGTGTTTACATCGAAACTTTGTATTTTACTACACATATTCCCAAATTCCCAGCCGCAATAACTGCTCTTGTGATGCTTTAAAGTATTATTTATAAACATAACAGTAGCTCCACGAAATGGTCTGTCTAGGTTTAGTCGTTTACGGTTTAGACCATTGACCTTGTATTGCAGATTGTAATTTGTATAGACAATCGGTCGCACATCCTGGTCAGGCTATCATAACACTATTCACTATTACAGGAGCCATCATAACATTGTCTAACTTGCCCTTTGCCCAAGGAAGTGATAGATACTGTAACTGAGTGATAATAGAGTGATTGTTATTATTGTGTCACGTCACGTGTACAGTACTGAGTACAGCACAGTGTAGTAGTGTTAAAACGAACGTAACGATGAGTTCGAATAGCAGCAACCCCGATGATACCCTGCAATCGTTGCAAGAAATGTTTTCTGGTAAATTAGACCCGGATACCGTACATATGATTCTCTCTGAGTGCCACTTTAACGGTAAGAATATCTTCATTCTGCTGAATATAAACAATATTGTCAATAACTTCATTAAGCCAATATCACATTGCGTTGCATTTGCAGCCTGACCAGTGGCAGTGCATATCTGTGACAGTCCAGTTTGTAGCGTAGCTCACTTTCACTTCGAAGGCTGACACTGTGAGTGAGTTTAAGGGCATGGATTCAAATCTGTCAACTATTTGGCAAGTTGTGGGCATATGCAGGTAAACGTACTGTTGACACGTGCTATAGGCCCTATCTATTTTCAGTTGACGAAGCCATCGAAACTCTGTGCATGTTGGCGAGTGCTTGCGAGGAGCAGCACTTGTTAGATGAACAGCTCGGCGATGCGAATGATGGAGAATGTCCACCAGAGCGCGCCACAGATGGCAGCGTCAAACCTCGTTCTGTGGTCAGTGACACGGCGCCGGCTCGGTCGGACGACGTGGGCGGTTATCAGATTCTGCACGTAGGAGCAGATTGTGTGGATGACGGTGCATCGCAGCTGTTGGCTGCGAGGCCAAGTAATGCTCAGATGGAGGCGGGAGAACACATCGCACAGTGCGAGGTTGCTGCGGCTGGTGATCGAGAATGTCCAGGAATAAACACCAAGCATCACCCTTGTCAAGGGAGCGAGGCTGATACTGAGGAAGATGGCTCACAACCACACACCACCCTCTCGGCCACCGCTTGCTCGTTCCAACCACGATCCGGTCCTTCGGTTTATCCACCCGGAGCAGCGCCGCGCTACGAGTCTCCGGTTTTTTACGGCGTGCGCGGGTTTTTGCCGCCCCACTTCGGACACCCGACCCCGTACGTGTTGCGCGGACGTGCCCCGTACGACGTGCGGATGCAGTATCATGCGGCACCTCACGACGGTCTGCTACGAGACTTTGCACTTCGAACGTCCGTGCCAGAAGATTGGCTTCATGGCATACACGCGAACCAGGGGAAGCATAAGAAGAAGAAATCGACAAATGTGACTACGCCTATCGCGATACTCTCTGAGGAGGATCGTAACCGATCGAGTGTGGGTGCTAGCGGGTGTTGTGTGCCGACAGCCCCCGCCGCGTCTCGTCCCGTGCAGACGTTTGCGCAGCTTGCGAGTAGACTTCACGCGTCACAGCCGGACGCGAAGGCCAAGGAAGGTACGCCACTTCGGAGAAAAACGGTCGCGAAAGCTCTGCTGAAGTGTTCGAGAGAATTTCTGAAGAAACACGGAGCGAAGAGACATGGCGTGTGGACGGCCGAGTCGATTGAATTAGCCCTGCATGCTGGAGGTTTCAATTCGCAAGCGGAGAGAAAAGTGGCCAGCTATATGTTGAATGACATAAAGCTATTGGTTCTCATGAGAGGGTGCCCTGGCAGCGGTAAAACAACTCTAGCAAGGTAACTAAAACAAAACCTCTTGTGCTACTGCTGTTGTATTAATTATTTTTCTCACATATGCCTTTTGAAGAGATTTTGCTTGTATACAAAATTTTGATAATGCACATACGAATGGCTATTTTTAATATTTAATTAAATCATAAAATTTAACAGTTAATTCTGCAATTGATTTTATGGTGCTTGAAGCATAGAGCTGCGTTATTTAGCATTTGTTAGTAGAGTAATGGCCATACTATCAATTGAAATATAAATCTAGCTGTCAGGTATGCTAGTTAACCCATTTAAATCTATCTCACAGTAAACTGAAGCATGGTGGTGTCATACTCAGCACGGATGACTATTTTGAAGGCAAAAAAGGATACAAGTTTCAGGGTAGTCAATTGGAGGCAGCACATGAGTGGAATAAATGTACAGGTAAAATATTCAAATTTGTTTTGAACTCGGCCGCTACAACAGGATCATAAAGATAGCAGCGACAATAGTAGATCAGTAGGTATCACACAAATGCTGTTGTGCATGTGAATGTGTAGACTTAGGTGACTTGTTTTCTTGTGTTTATATAACAGAAATTTTGCAAAATTTTACTTGCATTCGACCTTTCTGTGTAACAAACCTTGACCTTGCATAGCATTTTTTAGTAGTTTGATTAGCAGTTTTAATCCTTGGTTAATATGTATGTCACATCACCACCTTTCTTATCTATTTTCATCTATCTGGAATGGAGATAAATATAACGATGGTTGAATTGTTGTCCTTGTGTAGCAAAACAGTTTATGTTGGAAGGCAAGTCACCAGTGATCATTGACAACACAAACACCCAGGCGTGGGAAATGAAGCCTTATGTTGTATTGGTAAGCTGTAAGTTCTATATCAAGTGAGAAATTTATTCACACAAGGTCTGCACAGAAACAGTGTTGACTTGGTGCCTCACATGTCATCTCTCAATAAATAAGTGTCTGAAAATCTGTCTACAGGTCCATAATAAAAGATAACACTTATTTAGCTTGATAAGTAGAAGTGCTATGAATAATAGCTTCTTGTTCCCTTTTGTCTCTATTATTGTTGGTTGATATATTTTCTCTTACCATGACATGTCATCTGATCGATATGATTGCATTTCAATAATTGGCACTCTAAAGAACTACCTTACCCTACCATACTGAGAAGAAAATTGACTTCGGGAAGTCAAATCTAAGCCTACTTTTTATAGCCATAATGTTGCCAAGAATAATTGGGTATTAGGATGGTTTCATGGTTACTTTAGTGTGTGGTGTTATCTGTTTCAGGCACGTCAGCATCGATATGCTGTAGAAATGATTGAACCAATGACATCTTGGAAATTCAAAGCCGGGCAGCTAGCAAAGTAAGTTTGAATCCCAACTAACAATGACAGGTGCTGTGTTTGTCAGTTCAAGTTTAGGCTTCTAGGACAATTAAAGCAACATAACCAGGTAACTAAATGTGAACTGAGATTTATGCAAGATTATTAGCTTCCTACATATGTTTTCTCACACAAAAAGTAAATTGGTGTGTGTTATATAGTAATATGTTTAATACTGGTAATACCCACCACAGATGGAGCCACCATCTGCAGTAGTCTCCCTCATTTATTAACCTTTGTACCTTTGTTAAGAAGAATATCTAATAAACAAGTCATCTATCAAACCAGTTTCTCTCTTTGGTTACTCACACATCGTACAGTGTAACATGGTGGCAGGGGTATAAGTGATCCATCACCCATTAGAACCAGTTCATGGAAGGATTCATGTTGTATGGAGTGAGTAAATTGAAGGAATGCACTGGAATGCAGCCAGCCATAAATCATTTGTTTCGGCGGCCGTGCAGTAGTGAGTGGAGTGACAGCAAGCAGGCAGGCAGTGATGATGAACATTAAAGGAATAATAGGTTCATTGATTATGCAATGTTGACGAATGCTAGAGTAACTGGCACCTTGTGTAGTTAATAAGTACATTACCTTATATATAACGCGTATTAGTTTGTCCAATATCACTGCTGGTTCCATTACAAACAAGACTTGAAATCGGTTGTAGATATGTATCAACTTATCATTTACGTGCCGTAAATGTCATCCAGGAGTCAAGCGATGATGTAAACATTTGTGCGGCCCATATGTTTTGGATGCCAGATGAAACGGAGGTGTCAGCGGTGTAACCACAGCCACGGACTAAACATGGAAATAGAGTAAAAGACACTAACTAATCACGGACGCACGTGGACAGCCCTGACAAAAAGTTCTTTATCACATGCGGCCATGTTTACGAAATCACTGATGATAGCATTGCGTAAGGCGAAGCATGCGTGCGAAAATGTCCGGTGCACTATAAAGTGAAAGTAATGGCAGCAAATGTGATTACTGCATGATATAGGATTTCGATCCACGTTCATTGCCTGAGATCTCGATCTGTGGCATGTCTGTCCCAAACTCCTAGGAGTGCAGAAGTATCGTTATTTACACTACTCACGACGCAAGATGACGAACCTGGGAGTCCAGATGCCAATGTTGAATTGGGCATCCGTCGACCAAAAACTGGCGTACGAGGAGTGGAAAGACTTCCTCTCAAGCTATTTCGTCATGAATAACGTCGATGAGGAAAGACAATGGCATTACGTCTTATTGTCCTCCGGATTGCAGGGTCGCGAACTGTGGAATACATGGGCCCTGACCGACGCTGAAAAGAAGGCACCAGCGACCGTGTTCGGCAAGTTGGAAGCACATCTTGTCGGTAAGCCCAATAAGTGGGTCACATGTCTCGAGCTCTCCTCCCTCATGCAGAGAGAGGGCGAAGTGATAGAAAGCTTTATCTGTCGCCTGAAAGCCCAGGCACAATCATGCGAATTTACGGACAATGCAATTTGCGACGAAATGATTACATTCTAGCTCATCAAGGGAATACTGTATCCAGATGAGCGCAAAACCCTTATCGCCAAGGGAAACGACTTGAAGTTGGAGGATGCTGTCAAGTCTGCGCAGCACTACCAAGCGACGATGCAAAACTCCTCCTCCTTCAGCGCAGGTGTTAAAGTGGATGCCATTCAACGCCCATCACGACACCATGATAAATGCAGATACTGTGGGACCAAGCACGTGCCCAAAAAATGCCCAGCGCATGGGAAACAGTGCAGCAAATGTGGAAAGGCGAACCACTTTGCAGTCGTTTGTACGCAAAAGAATGGGAAACACCACAAGACGTCCACCACGAAGCAGCAGGGAAATCCGCTGCAACAACCCCGCTCGAGCAGCAGAGGCCGGAATGTTGACGCGATCAACTCTTATCAAGGCGCGACGTCACTCGACTGTGGTGAAGTAATTGAAGACATCATCGCAAACGAGAGACAGTCGATTATGGCGAAGCTGAATGTGAGGCCACCTGGTGTCCGAAGGAAAGTCACCCTCACGGTGAGAGCGGACACAGGTGCAAATGGGAACATTCTTCCAAAACAGTCTGAAGCAGATGTTTCCCTAGGTTAACGACCGTAAATTCGTTTTAAGAAGCAGCAAAGTGAGGCTCACTGCCGTGAATGGTACGAGCATTTCACAGATGGGAGTTATTGACATTCCTATACAGTTTGAAAACTCTAAATGGCATGGTTTGAGGTTCTATGTGTGCGACACAGAGGGCCCTGCAATTCTCTCATGTGGGGCCACAGAGAAGTTAGGCATCATTCAGGTTGTGGAAAGCAACAACATTTCTGCGACCAATTGTGAAAGCCCGCCGACTTCCTCCCACGACCCTGTCCATACTAAACTCGCACCTTAAAATCGCACCTCCATACTAAACTCGTCTATAAAGACGTTTCTCTCGTTGGGTTGAGTTAGGGAAGTATTAGGGTAGTAACTTTTTTTTAATTGTTTAGGGTTAGGTTGAAGTGTAGATCAGCGGGGACGCTGAATCAATGACAGGGTAGTCATCGTTTTACACGCTTATCCAGTTCCCTGTAACATCAATACCGCCGCACAATATGCGCGACGCTCCGTCTACACAGACCACCACCAAAATAACCCCAGCCCAGCCTCGCTGACTAATTCATGCAACACCTGCAAAACACATGTTACAATAATGGCCCGAACGAACATCTGGTCGACCCAGGAACAGACCAGCAAGGCTCATTGAAGAAGCCTAACATTCATAAACACTTTTATAATTAGTATTGTGTATACTCGAGTTAATATCTTAGTCATTTCGTATACGTTTATTCTTTTAACATTGCTCAGAGTTCAAATATTATTGTGTAAAGTTTAAGCCATTTAAAGTATGCTAAACTGTGCAATATTTAGCATTAATGCTAAATAATATCTAATAAACAAGTCTCATCTATCAAACCAGTTTCTTTTTTTGGTTACTCTCACATCGTACAGTGTAACAGTGTGTCGTTGACATTTCTCTAAGCGCAAAAAATACCAGGTCACAGTAATCCAAGTTCTCGTTCGTTTCTTTTTTGCAACAGGAAAAATTCCCATGGCGTTACCAAACAGTCCATCGAGAAAATAATCGGAAGGTATGAGCGGAACATCACCATCAGTGATGTGATGGCACAGACGACCGCGGCCGAGATGGCACCACAGAAAAAATCTGCCGACGCCGTTTACTCCAAGGATTCCTCCTCGACTGCTAAAGCAGCGAAGCCTAGTTGTGCGTCTGCCAAAAAAGCAAAACCTGCTGTGGCCAGCCACGTGCAAGGACGTGTGCACAAATCAAAGCGGAGTAAGAAAGCGAGTAGGAAATGTAACAGTATGAGCCCAGCATCGGTCGTCATAGAGACGAGTGCCTCTGTAAGTGTCGCCTGTGTTGCGGTGGGCACGGACGCGCACGCCGATCGATCTCTCAGCCCTCGTTCAATGCCTGGTGGTGAAACCCTAGAAATATATAGTAGCGACACGGACGAGACAGGGTCAGATGGAAGCGATAGTTTTCATGCAGCTGAGGATTGTGATGACAATGTGGGCGAAAATGTAGATAGTGATAAAGATATCTTAAGCTGTGGAGGTGTGACAGAGAAAATACATGGTGGAGGCTGTAAAGAAATAAAACACGAAGTAGATGCTACAAGTACGGGAGAAGTACAGGAAAGAATAGATGCTATAAGTAAGGAAGGAGAGAGGAAAGGAATGGATGACATATGCTGTTCTAAAGCAAAGCAAATTTTAGATATTTTATACGCTTTAGAAGGAGATGAAGGTATAGATGAGAAAAGTGAGGGCAAACTAAAGGAAGGAATAGATGACATAAGTAAGGGCAAAGTAAATGAAGGAACAGATGAAATAAGCTATGGAGATATTAAGGAAGAAATTAATGTTATAACTAGTGGCAAAGTGAAAGAGGAAGGCAATGGTATAAGTTCTTCAGAAATAAACGAAGTTATGGGTAATTTAATCTGTAGAGGAGTAGTTGCAGGAATAGATAATGTAAGCTGTGGACGAATAAATGAAAAAATTGATTATATAAACTATAGTGAAGAACATGGAGGAGTAAATGATGACATCTATCAAAAAATAGGGGAAGGCATAGTTAGGGGAAATAGTGGAGAACTGAACGAGGAAATGGGGGAAGTGAGCTCTGCCAATGCAGAAGTAATTACAGATAATATAGCCTATGGCGATGTAAAGGAAGATGTAGGTGATCTAGGTTGTGAAGAAGTGAAGAATAAAGTAGATGATTGTAGTTGTGGAATACAAGCTGGAATTGACGGTACAAGCTCAGATGAAATACAAAAAGTAATTGACGATACAAGCTGGGGTGAAATTCAAGAAGGAATTGATGGTACAACTTGGGGAGAAATACGAGAAGGAATTGACGGTGCAAGCTCGGCTGAAATACGAAAAGGAATTGACAATACAAGTTCGGTTGAAATTCAAGAAGGAATTGACGATACCAGCTGGGGAGTAATACAAGAAGGAATTGATGGTACAAGCTCAGGTGAAATACAAAAAGTAATGGATGATACAAGCTGGGGAGTAATACACAAAGGAATTGACGGTACGAGCTGGGGTGAAATACGAGAAGGAATCGATGATACAAGCTGGGAAGAAAGCCATCAATCGACGACCGAGAAGAAGCAGCGAGCCAATAAAGAAGAAAGCGAGGCCGTGGGCGACGTTCTTGCGCCGATGCCGCAGCGCAGGAAGGCCAGAGCATGCGCGAGCACCGCCATGCGAGATCTTGCGAGTGCACTGCTGCCACAGCCACAAGGAAAAGGCAAACCGGCGAGCGTGTCTGTGAACGAGTTACCTGGCGGAGATCCATGGTCGATGCCGGCGTTTCCCGCTTGGCAGGGTGTGACGCTGCGAGCTGTCGGGCGCGAGATCAACGCGGAGGGAATCAACGACGGCAACGGTGGCGCCCCTCGGTGGCGGGACGGCGTCGCGCACGCCGCCACCAACACGTACGGCGTTGACTTTCGGCTGCTCGAGAGCGTCGAGGCTGGTGTCGCGGGGCTGCAGCGCGTGCGCACGCTTGTCGCGCGCGCCCGGACTCTCGGCCCCGGTGCGATGCCTGACCCGCCGGGTCATCTGGCGGTGGCGGAGTCGCCCGTTCGGCTTCGCGGCTGGTCACCGAAGAAGCATGCGTTGTTTCCCGACGAGGCGATGCTAGGGGTCGCCGCCACTCATCCGGCGATCGCGCTGATGCTCGACAAGGGATGCTCGACCGAGGACGACAACACGGGCGGAGGAGGAGGTGAAGGAGGAGGAGGGGAGAGTGTCGCGTTCCTACAAGCATGCTTTCCGGACGCGCGCGAGGAGGACCTGCGAGACGTCGTCGAGAAGTGCGGCGGCGACGTCGACTGGGCGATGAATCTTGTGCTCGATGACTCCGGCTTCCTCGCGCACGGCGGCCCCCTGCAGTCGGAGGTGACGTGGGACATTACGCAGGTCGAAGCAGAGGTGGATAAATCCATAGGCGCCCCCGATCAATCGGAGGCAGAGGGGAGCATTGCGCAGGTCGAAGCTGAGGTGGATAAAAACGTCGGTGCCACGGGAGAATCTCGGTCGGCTCTGAACGCGTTGATGGAGACGTACGAGTCGGACAGTTTCGACGAGGAGGAGGATGATGACCCCAGCTGTCCACCATGTTCAGTCGGAATGCCGCCGCCTCTGCCGGGGGCGAAAGTACCGATTCTTTCTAACTGCTCGGAACCAACCGGGAGGATGCCTGGCATCGAGCTAAATTTGAGTAGTGTCGGCGACGGTCCCCTGCCGATGTCGCCGCCGCCGCTCGCCATCATGTGCGAGGATGTCATCTTCTCGGAGAAAGGGTCTGAGTTTTTACGTGACGCGAGCGTCGGCGGCGAGGAAGAAGAAGCAGCGCTGAAGGGCCTCGACGTGTGGGCGGAGTCGGCGATGCACCGGCGCCCTCTCGCATCGCCCGTGGAAACAGAGCAGAGCAAAGCTCTGCAGGGTTTTCCACCAGAGGGCGTAGATGTCGTTGGCGATGTCGATGTCAACGAAAATACGAATAACAGTAACGCCGTGCCGTCGTTGTATCCTTCGTTAGACGTGGATGCTGGCAGGTGTCGCGGCGAGGCGCTGCGCATGGGACCGATGCTGACGGGTCAAAGTTCAAGCGGGAGGAGCACAGATGCAGACGAATCGGATTTTATTTTAACTCTGGATGTCGAATCGGCTGCTAGTTTGCAGCAGGTGTTTGGACCTATAGGATTCTTTGCCTCTACCGGTAAGTTTTAGTACTAAATGGAGAACTTTTTTTTACGTAACTTGATTGTTTGCACATTCCACTGCTTGCAGTACTACTGCTTACATTGTATGCACACAGTGGCTGAATACTTCACGCAAAATTTCGGCAATCGCCCTGTGTATTGTGTATCAATGAAAAGTACTATTTAATACGAGCCACGAGTATTATGAGCCACGAGCGTGCACGTTATGACTTAAAAAACTTAACTAAAAATGTTTAAAAAACGACAAGTCCTGTTGTTACAAGTGATTCTCACAAGAGTTCCAAGCTCGCAACATCGGCCTTGCCCGGTCGCAGCCATCCCATTCCAATTGTGTGACGTCTCGTGCTCAGGTAAGCTGGAAGCAAAGCATCGACGCGTCTTGCTTCCCGTCCAGTTGGCCGCGCAGATTTATCAGCACTGGGCGGTGACTCAGATGTCCAGTATCCTACAGGAGGCCATCACGCCGGACCACATCACAGCAGGTTGCTCTCCTGTATAGCTCGTCGTTATTCGATTACTGTTGTTAGAGATTTACAGTTTACTTTATTTTTATTTTTATTTATTTTACTTTATTTTTTATATATATATATTTTTTGAAATTTGTATGTGCACGTCGGCAGTTGGGACATGCAAATGACGTCTGATTTGTTTAGTGTAACGGGCTCAGGCCGGTGGGTGAGAGACAATTTTGTTTTAGCATATGGTGCTAAACTAGACCGAGCCAGATTCCTGGAGTGGGTTCTACTGATGTGGATTTAAACCCTTGAGTCCAGTATAAAATAAAGAAACCGAAAACAACAACAACAACATATGGTGCATGTGTAGTTTATGAAAAACCATCTAAAATAATAAAATTTCTAGTGTGATTTTGATCGGTACGTTGATTACAGCCCACAGGAATACACACACAATTATATCTTTTTATAATAGATACTTAATAGCATATATTTTCCTATCTAAACTACCAAATTCTAGAACCCATACCCATCAAAATAGGCTATTTGTGGGTCAAATCAGAAATTTTTTTCCGGGGGTGCATGCCCTCGGACCCCTCTAGCAGGACTTCGCGCCTTCGCCGCTCGCTCTACCGTCCGTGCCGGAAGAACAGTTTCCTGCTATTCATTGTCAAATTACCTGCTTTGTCAAAAGTTAACAAGAACCCTGTATATATATATAATTTCAGTGTGGATAGCTCTTCAAACTGACAAAAAAACTTATAGTGATTAGAACCCTATTTTACAGATAATTTAAAGAAACCCCATTAGAGCAGTATGTGGGCAGCATTTGTAATAGACAATTTGCATTTTAGATGAAGTATTAGCATATCAGCTCCAAGATGAGGAAAACAGAAAGGGAGAAGAAAAGCACACAATACCGCTGCCTCCCACTAAACTTACAGAGATCATGGATGAAGAGCTAGCATGGCAGTTGTGCAGAGAGGACCAGGTATGCCTGAAAAACTGTTGGCACATTTCATGGAATGTGTGTAGCTGGATTTACTAGTCAATAGTATGTCATGACAGATGTAGGAATTACTATTAATAAAAACAAATGCAAACATGAATGTACATAATATCACAGGAAGTCGGTTGTACTTGTACTATAGTTGTAGCATGAATAAATACTTATTTCTGGTGTACACCTATATTTCAGATGCACATAGTTGGTCTATAAATTTGCTATTCTCTCACCAGATTCAGCATTTATCTTTGGTAGTAAGCCTATGATGTGGCGATGTTGTTCTCTAGTTTTGTAGTTACCTGTTGTTGTCATAGCTGCAGGGTACATGGGAGTGATTACTACACATTTCTCTTGCAGAAGGTAAAGCTGAACACAGCTGAACTGGATTTTGCAACAACTCTAAAGCTGAAGGAGCTTCAAGAGAGATTCCCTAGTGCCGACAAGGAATTGCTTGATAGCATATTTGTGGCAAACAAGTATGAAATACGTATCACGTATTGAAGCTCTGTCAAACCTGCTAGACAGTCAGCTTCATGAGGAAACTTTCCCATGTATCATTTTCAAACATCACAATTATTATCATATTCAATACGCCTGCATTCCTGATAACTTGTGGTCGTGCCTTGTAAAAAATGAGGGTACCTCATAACTGGAAATGGTAGACGAGGTTACTGTAAGTTAAAAATCACAGTAAAGCCTTCTAATTCCTCCTATAGCTGAAAGGTATATATCATAATTAATATCTGATTAATTGGTCTCTCAATCTGAAGTGTACCAAAAAGTTATCGGCAATGTTTTTACATGTTATTACAAGTGATATTTGTCAGAAAGTATGAAGCTTGTGAATGCAAGCTTCCATCATGATAATGCCAGCTAAATCTTCTATTTGTACAGCTTTGCACTCGGTCCAACTATAGAAGAACTGCGAAATTCCGGCGTTCGAGAATTGTCCCTGCAGTCAGTTGCCGGCACATCAAGACTTGGTCAGTCCACATCAGCTGCCATGCATCTGGCAGGGGATCCCACACTGGAGACTGGCTATGAGGTAGTCGATCAGTTTTGCCGGTGGGAGATGAATAGATAGATGATATTTAGTTACAGATTTCCGGCATAGTTGCATATAGGTTGGACCATGGTAATCCGACACCCTCAGGAATCACTGATAATTCTGAACTGCTAAAGGTCGGGAAAATAACGCCTAAAATACATCACCACCTTTTCATCATTTGATGGATTCATCATCCCCAACGAACATCATTCATCATTCACCATTCTCCAATCACCATTCATCATTCACCATTCATCATTCACCATTCACCATTCACCATTAATTGTTCACCATTCATCATTCACCATTCATCATTCATTGTTCACCATTCATTGTTCACCATTCATCATTCACCATTCATCGTTCACCATTCACCATTCATCATTCATCGTTCACCATTCATCGTTCACCATTCATCATTCATCGTTCACCATTCATCGTTCACCATTCATCGTTCACCATTCATCGTTCACCATTCATCATTCACCATTCACCATTCACCATTAACACGTTCCCTGCGGATCCACGAGTCAGCTCCTGGGAACAATCAAAACGCATCCCCGCAGATCCACGAGTCAGCTCGTGGATAGATTATTGGTTTTTGTTACTCTGATTTCCAACAGGTTAATCAAAAAGTGAATAAAGTGCAGTAAAAACCCCAAAATGCCAGCGCATGAGTGGCCGAAATGGTAGGTGCATCGTTAACACCTGCAGCGTTGAACGTGTTAATCATTCATCAGCGAACGATCAATTGAAGAATCGGTGAATCCCTTCTGCAGGCTGGATCGGACTTCCAGCAGCTACAGGGCCCAGAGTATCACGACTTCCGCGCCGAAGCCTTCCAGCATCACAAGCTGCGGCAGGAGTGCTTCCAGAAGGCGGCCGTCGCTCACGGCCAGAACATGCACCAGGTGGCAGTCTACTACGGGCAGCAGGTGAGCGCACACGCGTGTGTGTTGATCGACGGATGTCCGGAGGGCTCATCTCTTCGATGTACACGTTTAGCTCGAGTAGATGGACTAGAAGGATGTAATTGGATAAACCAGAATGATATAATAATAGAAATTAATTTGCTTAATGCACTAAACTGAAAGATTAACGGTAGACACAGTAATACACGAAAAGTCAAGTTTGTATGAAGTTTAACATTACAAGTACATTGTACATAGTCCTCCAACACCTACGACACGATACCGACACTTCTAACGTAGCACTGATACCCATAGCGCTGTTCTTCGCTCCGCTCTTTGAGGTACATGTTTAGTGTGAGTCCTCCAACACCTACGACACGATACCGACACTTCTAACGTAGCACTGATACCCATAGCGCTATTTGAATACCTGAAATGCTGCTGAGATACCCAAAACACTACTCAAATACTTGAGACAATGCTACGGCACATGTAATGCTGGTCTAATACTGATAACGTTCTAATGCCTATGTATGCCTATGTCGCTGCTCCCATTTCTATAACGCTGATCCAACACCCACAACTTTGATGTAGCACCTGTAACTTGAGCAGTCCTTTGAATCTAAACCTATCCAGGCTCTAACACTTTACAATGTTCAGTCCTATATATATACATTGGAAATATTGCTTCAACACACAGAGCACTGCTGCAACAATCGTAGCACTGTTCCCGTACGTAACGTATGCAGTAGCGCTGTGCGTATTCGCAGGGCCGCCTTCACACGCAGAAGATACTGGAGGCAAACAGCAGAGCAGCCGAGCGGATTCTGCACTACAGGAACGCGGAGACGGATGCCAACATGCTAGACGTTCACGGCCTGCATGTCACCGAGGCCATAGACGCCGTCGAAAGGTTCCTCGCCTGCAGGGCATCCGGTGGGTGCTGTTCACGCCACCTGGTGGCGACTTCTGCACGGCTTGTGGCCGATTGAATTCCTGTAGCGGGATTTTATGCTGTCGGGAATTTTCGCGGAATTGCGGTTTTCGTTGATTCGAGTTATGTGGTGGCAGGCAGTTGTGTAGTATTGTGTTTTTATTTTCATATTTTCTGTATTATATATATATATATATATTAATATATTATATTAATTATTATATTTATATATATTATTATATATATTTATGTATATATTCAAATGTGCATTTATTGTATTATCTTTTTTATCGGGAGGCTGTTATTCGATGGCTCATATTATTCGCTTTGATTTCAGAATGTGCACAATCTGCAACCAGGTATATCTCGATCATTACTGGTAGAGGTGTTCACAGCAAGGGTGGCTCAGCAAAAATTAAGCCTGCAGTAATCGACTATCTGCGACGACATAATTACAGGTATTTGTTTCTTTTCTTGTATATATGCTTAGGTGAAAAAAGCTTAAAATCTTTTAAGTCTCAAAATTGTGTCCAATTCTTATGTATTTTACTCATTTACAGTACGAGCTGTTGCTGTGTTATGAATAATACTCTCCCACCACTGTGTTACAGTCTTGTTATAGTAGCCAAGTAATTCCTATGGTCACATACATGGCAAGCTGTTGCTGTGGCCTGCCTCTACAAGAAATCTCCACACTTCCCTTTTCAGAGTTGCTGAGCCACAACCAGGAATGGTGCAAGTGTATCTGAATTAATCCGTGTCTCAAATCGAAGTGACGCTCAGTTAAGGTACATTCAGACAGGCTAGCACCGTTCGTGGTTCATTCTGGTGACACTGACACCCACTTACTAAAACAGAGGTGTATTCCATCCAAGTGGACTAAAATATTCAAGCACCTTCAGGAGCGCTCACACATTTTAAATGCACTGCAATTCGCTCGGGACTACTGTCGCGATGAAAATGTTTTCAGCCAAAGGCATTTGCGCATCGCTAGCATTAAATCACATTAGCGAGTGTGTGTTGATTGACGTACATAAGCTGGTTTTTCTGGCATTGAATTAATTATAATAAGTAGAATAATAAATATTATAATAATAATTAACGTAATAATTAAAGCTCCCTCGTCAGCACATCACACTGCACAGCATCACGATTATGATTTTTTCGTCAGTTCAAGTTTCATTCATTTAAATTTGTTCTTCACTATTAGTCTAGGCTCTGTGTGGGGGGTGGGGGTGCTCGTGTACATGACTCTTTTAGACCAAAACCTTGTATTTTCTCATTCTTTATGGTAAGACTCTCAATAAAAGTTTGGGTAACACCTCTGGGTCAAGTACGTTTTTTCTGTACAGCCCATTATGTGTTTTTCGGTTAGGCGCCAAAGTGAAAAAATGGCAATATTGAAGTTTCAGAGTACAATTCTTTATTAAGCAACCATAAACCTTTTGCACTGAATTACATTGAATAAGTATTACTAACAACTTTCCAGAATGATTTGTTGCCATAAGCATTGTTTCATGGTACGAAATGGCTACATTTTGCTCAATTTTAGCCAAAAAATAACCAAAAATTGCAGTCACTTTGAAAGTAGCTCTAAGTATTATTGCTTCTCACTCGCCCAATATTGTAGCTAGAGGTACCAAAATTGGGCAAAAGTTTCCTTATTAAGTGCTCGAAGTGACTCAAGCTTCATAATTAGGCCCCCGGGCTCTATATAATGCATAGGGGGGCTGATGTAATTCAGGGTCAACCCTACCCCCAAATAGCAGCCTTTTGCGAATTTCGTCAAATGATGATAACTAGTGACCTAGGAAGTTGATTTTTGTGGCTACGTATAGGTTTTTGACACCATTGAATTGATTGACACCATTATTATACATTTTGGAGTTCACCTAATAATGCCTAGGTATACAATGTACGACATTGTGCGAGTGAGTAGCAATCATACTTAGAGCTACTTTTGAAGTGACTGCGATTTTTTGGATATTTTTTGGCTAAAATTGAGGAAAATGTAGCCATTTCGTACCATGAAACAATGTTTATGGCAACAAATCATGTTGGAAAGTTGTTAGTAATACTTATTCAATGTAATTCAGTGCAATTTGAAAGTTTATGGTTGCTTAATAAAGAATTATGCTCTGAAACTTCAATATTGTCATTTTTTTCACTTTAGCGCCTAGGCACCGGGCCGTCTGACTCCTGCGATCTGAATTAATTGTAATGACAATATGCCAGACTATAGGCACTAGCCTGTGTGGTTACCGTGAGTGATGGAATGCCCCATATGCTTTTGGATGCAAGGTAAATGTACACATGTATTTTAATTGGTGTGCAGGATGGTCTAACTGAAGAAAGGTCGTGGCAATAATGATTGACGTTTGATGTTCGGATGATGAAGCTTAACATAGTTACATTTAGACGTTGTTTAATTGCTCATTTTAGATCGTATTGACATTTTATTATATTGATTAAATTAAAATTTCTATTTTTAGATTATGGCAGTTTTATCTAGTTATGTCTATATAGATGTACTATGTGAGATTACCATGATTGTTATAGACATACTATATTATCCAAGACATGAATAAGTGCTGTGCAATTTTTACGTAATCGTATTCTGTATCGTCTGTATTTTCAATTTAATCTGTAGATTACGTAGTGAAATTGAGCGTTTGTTATTTTATGACGTTTCTACATGCACATATTTTCGTAACGTGCTACAGAATTTCATACTAATTATGTGCGTTCTGAGCAGAGAATTATTGAAAATAATTTTTATAATGAATATTATACATTTGTTGATTTTTATCGTGAAGATGTACAATTAGATGAGAAATAAATTTGAAGTGTCTAGAAATATAGAAGATATGCATCTTAAGTGTGTTGTTGCCTGCAAATTATTATTATCACTGTTGTTAAACTATAATATATTGTTGAATAAAGTGTTACCACTTGTACATTTCTATGCAAGTAACAATTAGTAATAATTACAGTATCGTTATTTATATAGTATTTCAGTGTATAATTGATAGATCGTTTTTATAAACATGTCAAAGTGTGAAAAATAATTCGAGTGCTCACTCACTTGTGACCTGTGTTTAGACTAAAAAAATCAAGAACATTTAAAATTTACTGGTGGGACGTCCTGGACTGATTTTAGAGCCGGAAGTTTAAACAACTTCAGATGCTATTGTGGATAATTTTGTCGTAATATCATTCGTATAGACTCGTGCATTCACATGTTTGCTCCTGATTGTGGTTTGCCGTGTAAGCACTTGCAACAGTTGTTTGTGTTAATAAATATGATAATAACCCTATTTACGATAGTTGGATATTAAATGCAGTGGCAATTTTCCTATTGAAACGCGTTTTTGTAGTTGGCAAAGCTAACTTACGTACTGCAGTCTTATACGTTGCTTAATAAAACGTCCCAATTGAAACAAATAATATGAGGTTGGTATCCTGGTGGTTTCTGGCGTTTAACGTACGTACATGACACGCCCTGGTGTAGACGGCTGCAGGTGTTTAGTAATAGTTGCATAATACTTGTATAATGGTGAATAGGCCTACTTGTGGTTAGAATATAATAATAATTTCTCGTCAGTTGATGATTACACCGTGTCAGTCGTTGTTCTCATGAAGTGAGATTTCCGCACTAATTATAATTATAATTAATAAAAATAATAAAATAATAATTTACATAAATGTCGCCATGCGTCTGATGCTTACTCTCTCTAAGAACGACTGCCTGCCCAATGCCCATCACTCTCTTGCTCTAGTACTATAGCCCGCGGATCGCTGCGGCAGCGATCCGCGGGCTATAGTACTAGAGCTAATCACTCTCATGCTCTTACGTTTATATGATCTTATTTTATCTGGCTATTTCCCGTTTACCAGACACTAAATCGTCCAACCCCGCGTCCTGAAAATAACCGTTCGCCCAGCTTACTTGATAATTAACGGAATTGTTCGATGTTATGCCATTGGATATGCACGTATCATGTGACTGTACATTGAGATGTAACTGTAATTTGTAGACTGTAAACTGTGATATACGTAGGCTACGTGACTGTATAGCCTGAGATGCACGTACGTCACTATAGACTGATATGCACGTATCATGTGACTGTAGATTGAGATGCGCGTATGTGACTGTAGATTGAGATGTGCGTATGTGACTGTAGGTTGAGATGTGCGTATGTGACTGTAGGTTGAGATGTGCGTATGTGACTGTAGGTTGAGATGTGCGTATGTGACTGTAGATTGAA